CTCAAGAATCTTGTTTAAACTCTTGTTTTGTTAGCAAATTATTTAACATATATTTGAGACCAGTGTATTCCTACCCAAGATATCATAAGTATCTACCTAGGTGGGATTTATGAGATTGTTATCATATTAAAACTTTACATTTCTAGAAAGTTATTGGTCATAAAAGAAAATTTTAAACTATAATAAAATGTTAACACTATGTCAACGGACTTCCAAATTTGAAAGTCTCTATTCCCTATGATTCTTTAACTTTATTATGCCATTTGTTGGCACAATAAGATTAAAGTGGAATTTACTTCTGTCTACCAATTACATAGCAACAGAAGGCACAGTGCTGCAATTCCACACAGACCCAGCCATCTCAGTCATGTACCATCGTAGGCATTGCCAGAGCTCCGACAGAAGCATCGAGCGTACAGCCTTTCGACCAGAAAACACTTACAAGCAGCCTCTTGTCTAAGTTGGCTTTTCTCAAAGACGAGGTAACAGAGTTGGCATCTTTTTCTGCCATCCATGCTTTAAAAAGCTTGACAGCGAAGGAGGCCGCAATGCCTGTTAAAACACAAGAGAGAATTTCATTCCTTTTCTAAGCAAAACCCCTTGCGATGATGCGAAAAGCAGCATTCCTTCCTAGGTTTCCTGAAATAGGTAAATAACTAAAAGACTATTTGGTACAAAGGAAAAATCAACAGACTTCTAGGCAAAGTTCTCCTCTTTTCATTATTCAAAAAAAACCATTTTCTTGAGAAGGAAAAAAAAGTTAAAAAGTTGGACTACTTGTTTCCAATCTGGTATAACTGTAAATAAATTTATTTATTTATTTAACTTGTTCCAAAACATGTCTAAAGTCTAGTATCTTCGGTGTTTTTGCCTCTTTTTTACCCTTTGGTTCATCATTATTTTGTTTATAACTGTCATCTTGAGCCACAAGAAAGTAAATCAGGAAACACAAAACTGTAATGTCAACGTAAGTCAACTAATTTGCTGATAAAGGGGGCCAGTAAAAGAACTAATTGCAATAGATGTAAGTATAGCTACAGACGAACACACATCATTTACTTTACAGTTTCACTTTTTGTAAAAAGTATTTAAAAATATTCTTGAGTTAAGCTATAAAACTATCAAGGCTGTTTCCACTTAAACTCTTCTGGATTTTAAATAATGGTTATTAAGGTAGTTATGGTAATCAGAAAACCACTCTATCACATGTCCACAATTACATAATGACTTATCTCCAAATAGAAATAATCAGATAACTAGGAAATAGTTTTTTCTGTGATCACTTCAAATTTGTAAATTTATTTTGCATTAATTTAATGAAGAGTTAAGGTGTAGCTGAAATATTTAACTGATTTTTCTTAAGTTCTCACTATTGTATGTGGCCTAAGCAGCTTCTCTACTTTCCTTATCTCCTTTCCTAAGAGAATTCCCATTTTGTCCAGGCCAAGTGACTTTTTATTAGTCTAAGTCCTGGCACGACCTCCTTCTGCATATTAGTTTGGTAATTTCAGCTTAAGCTCATCTGTCTATAGCACTTCCTTGGCATTTGCTACTAGACCTGCATTGGTCATGTGGCCTGTGCCAGGTAATCAACTGAAGGAAAGGTATTTTCCTGTATTCAGGGGAAGTGATCTTTCACTGAACCTGAACCAGGAAACATATACTCTAACTGTACCAGCAGACATGTTATAACGACGAGGGGCACCATCCTTGGTATGAAGTTGATGCTATTCATGGTAATAGGGAAAAATACTTGAGTCCTGAATGATATTGCTATTCACCCTGAAGTCTGCCCTACTCTCATATGCTGGAGAACTTTATGTTAACAACTTTTTGTTTTTTTTTTTTTTTGAGACAGAGTCTTGCTCTGTTGCCCGGGCTAGAGTGCTGTGGCATCAGCCTAGCTCACAGCAATCTCACACTCCTGGGCTCAAGCAATCCTTCTGTCTCAGCCTCCCGAGTAGCTGGGACTACAGGCATGCGCCACCATCCCCCGCTAATTTTTTCTATATATTTTTAGTCGTCCAGCTAATTTCTTTATATTTTATAGTAGAGACAGGGTCTCACTCTTGCTCAGGCTGGTCTCGAACTCCCGACCTTGAGCGATCCTCCCGCCTCGGCCTCCCAGAGGGCTAGGATTACAGGTGTGAGCCACTGCGCCTGGCTATAATTTGTTTTAATACGAATTATTAACATTATCATCAGCTCACAAAATCAGTATCAAATGTAATGTAAATTTATGAAATTAAGCCAAAATCCACTTAATGTTAGGTTGTAATCTATGTTGCAAGTAAAGAAAATAGAGTACGCTCGAAACTAAGAGTCTGAAATCTTGATTTAATCCTATCACTTTGTATTAAAAGTGGAAGAGTGGAAAGAAATTTCCCTTCACTTTTTCCCTGGGTAGAATGGTCCCATTCCCCCTTGGCCAACTGTTAGATAAGCGTTGGGGAAAGGTATAACTCCCTATCTTTTTCTCATTCAGAAGGAAGTGTTTAAACCTCTAGTTTCCAAAGATGGTGGAGTCTGAGGAAACTCTATATGACACAGGCAGTGTGTTATTCCATAGCAAAGGTATTTTCCTTCTCTCCCCTTGCCCTGACATCTTACTATAAAAATTTTTGAACATAAAGAAAAGTTACACTCATATACCCACCATTTGGTTCTGTAACTGTTGATATTTTGCTATATTCACTTTATCCCATATCCACCATGTATCTATCCAATAATGTAATTTTTGGATATATTCAAAGGAAGTTGCAGACATCACTTAGGTTTTTAATACAACTAGAAAGGCTATTATTTTATGTTATGGTGGCTAGGATAATATAATTAATGTTTAATGTTTATGTTCTACCTTTATTTTATGTGTAAAATGGCTAATAGCATAATAAGATGTGGCACATATTGAATTCTCTTCAGGAAAACACTTTAAAATGTCATAATATTAATAACATACCATCAATGCTTACAGAGCCTGTACTGTGATAAATCTGAGCTATTTTAAGCCAAAAACTATCAAGAATCTCTGAATAATACCATTTGATTCTTGATGTACTATTCTTTTCTTAGCTACAAGAAAACTATAACCCCTTTCACTACAGGCATGAATGAGGCTGGGACTTCATATACGTAGGAGGAAAACTTTTTAAGTTCTCAGAAGAGACAGATGTTCTCACAAAAGGTCTTTTAATTTATTTTTAAGGAAAAACAACTGTGTTTTGTGTTGGATTATTATTTGAATGTCATTACCTCCTACAAGAAAACAGCCCACTTTTGTTTCATTCTACAACCACATCATGATATGCATGCCTGTCAAACTATTTTAATGCCTTAAAATTGAAACAAGACTTTTTTTAATGCAGCAGTCTTAACTTTTTTCTAAAACTGAGACTGTGAGTATCTTAATTATGTGATCAAAATGAACATGTAAGCATCAGTTTCCCCACAACTTGATGGGAAACAGTTTAGAAGAGTGGTCCTATTTGGGGGACATTTTTAAATGTGGAGGGGCATTTTTGGTTGTTACAATAAGTGGGGGTGAAAGTTACAACCTGGCCTTTCGTGTCTGAGGGCCCAAAGATTAAATGTCCCACAAAGCACAATGTAGTCCTGCA